CCTCCCCCCCATGTCTATAAGTATTCCCAGCCTTTGCTCCATACTTTGAAGCCCCTTTAGCCCCCATTCCAGCCTGGAGTCGTTCGGAGTACGATGCTACAAGCTCAGCACACCTATTTTTGGGTGATTTCTCCCATTCTTCTTTGCAGTTTCTCTCCAGCTCCATCAGGTTGGACGGGGAGCGTCAGTGCGCAGCCATTTTCAGATCCAATAGAACATGTGTCATGTCATGTTTCGGTCCATCCGACACCGCCAGGTTGCACCTCAGACTGTCCAGGAGCTCAGTGACGCCCTGGTCCAGATCTGGGAGGAAATCCCCCAGGACACCATCCGTGGTCTCATTAGGACCCTCCCCCGATGTTTTCAGGCATGCATACAAGCACGTGGGGGCCACACAGACTACTGAGGACCATTCTGAGTTGCTGCAATGACATTTCACCAACATGGACTCGCCTGCTGCATCATTTCTTCACTTTGATTTTCGGGGTGTCTTTTAATTCAGTCCTCTGTAGGTCGATCATTTTCATTTCCATCAAACGATGGGGCGAATCCTTACATTCCTCACCCATCACCCCGTCCATGTCAGGATAGAGATCCAGCAGATTTGTCCCCAATCAGATCTGATGGGTTTTCAAAGTCTTCCTTTCATTTTTTTCAGCAGTGTATAATATAGCGGTGGTCTCCAAACTGCGGCCCGGGGGCTGGATGCAGCATTTTGCTTGCTTTTATCTGGCCCTTGGGGCATCATTCCCCCTACTGACACCATCAATGGGGCACTTGTATCAACCATGGGGCATCATTCCCCCTACTGACACCATCAATGGGGCACTTGTATCAACCATGGGGCATCATTCCTCCTACTGACACCATCAATGGGGCACTGATATCAACCATGGGGAACCATTCCCCCTACTGACACCATCAATGGGGCACTGATATCAACCATGGGGCACCATTCCCCCTATGGCAACATCAATGGGGCACTGATATCAACCATGGGGAACCATTCCCCCTACTGACACCATCAATGGGGCACTGATATCAACCATGGGGAACCATTCCCCCTACTGGCACTATCAATGGGGCACTGATATCAACCATGGGGCACCATTCCCCCTACTGACACCATCAATGGGGCACTGATATCAACCATGGGGAACCATTCCCCCCTATCAATGGGGCACTGATATCAACCATGGGGAACCATTCCCCCTACTGACACCATCAATGGGGCACTGATATCAACCATGGGGCATCATTCCCCCTACTGGCACTATCAATGGGGCACTGATATCAACCATGGGGAACCATTCCCCCTACTGACACCATCAATGGGGCACTGATATCAACCATGGGGAACCATTCCCCCTACTGACACCATCAATGGGGCACTGATATCAACCATGGGGCACCATTCCCCCTACTGGCACTATCAATGGGGCACTGATATCAACCATGGGGAACCATTCCCCCTACTGACACCATCAATGGGGCACTGATATCAACCATGGGGAACCATTCCCCCTACTGACACCATCAATGGGGCACTGATATCAACCATGGGGCACCATTCCCCCTACTGGCGCCATCAATGGGGCACTGATATCAACCATGGGGCACCATTCCCCCTACTGGCGCCATCAATGGGGCACTGATATCAACCTTGGGGAACCATTCCCCCTACTGGCGCCATCAATGGGGCACTGATATCAACCATGGGGAACCAGTCCCCCTACTGGCGCCATCAATGGGGCACTGATATCAACCATGGGGAACCATTCCCCCTACTGACACCATCAATGGGGCACTGATATCAACCATGGGGCACCATTCCCCCTACTGGCACCATCAATGGGGCACTGATATCAACCATGGGGCACCATTCCCCCTACTGACACCATCAATGGGGCACTGATATCAACCATGGGGAACCATTCCTCCCATTTAAAACCAATGATGGGGCATTTTGTACTCCCATTGGTCACAGTCCGACTCCCCCAAAGTCTGAATGACAGGAAGCCCTTGGTTTAGAAAGTCTGAAGACCCCTATAGGTATACAGGATGATATATTTCTATACAGTGTTCACTTTTTCCATGTTATGTTGCATCCCGATACTACAGTTGTTTAAATTCATTTTCTTCTCATTAATCGGCACTCAGTCCCCCATAATGACATGGTGACACCAGAATTCTAGAGATGTCTGGGAATTTATTAAAAAGAAAAAACTGAACTCTCACTTGTACAGAAGTATTCAGACCCTTTACGCAGTGCTCTGTTGAAGCCCCTTTGGCACCAAGTTCAGCTTCGAGTCTCTTCGGGGATGACGCCACAAGCTTTGCACCCCTGGATTGGAGGATCTTCTGCCATTCTTCTTTCCTCAGTCAGGTTGGATCGGTGGACGGCCATTTTCAGGACTCTCCAGAGATGTTTAATAGGGTTCAAGTCAGGGCTCTGGCTGGGCCACTCTAGGACATTCAGAGTTGTCCCTCTGCCACTCCTGTGTTGTCTTGGCTGGTGCTTAGGATGGTTGTCATGTTGGAAGGTGAACCTTCGGCCCAGTCTGAGGTCCTGAGCACTGTGGAACAGGTTTTCTTTGAGGATATCTCTGTACTTTGCTCCATTCAGCTTTCCCTCAACCCTGACTAGTCTCCCAGTCCCTGATGCTGAAGAACACCCCCACAGCAAGCTCTGATGAAGAAGGGACACCCTTCGAAACGCGTCAGCCGCTGGTTCCCTGAGTGTCCACCCCTATGATGGGACTCGCACAGGCTTTACCATTCCATAGTTCCTCTGAGAACTTACATGCTTGAAATACTTCATTGTTTGTGAGTATAATTCTGCATTCAATAAATATTTGGTTTACTGAGGTAATGCGCAAGGTTGGTGCGCTTCTTTATTGTTTTTGCTTCACAGTATTGGTCGGGCTTCCCCAGCCTTGTTTGGAGCTGCCCAACCCCATATGCACAGGTGGTCGAATTTTTTCAAGTTCTGGTTCCATCCATCCACCTCTTTTGGGTCTCAGAGCGCAGGAGAGTTCGTTTCTCGTTTCCATACTGCTGCCACCACCATGCTTCACTGTTGGGATGGTATTGGGCAGGTGATGAGCAGTGCCTGGTTTCCTCCAGACGTGATGTTTATAATTGAGGCCAAACAGTTCAATCCTGGTTTCATCAGACCAGAGAATCTTGTTCCTCAGTCTGAGAGTCCTTCAGGTCCTCTTTTGCAAACGTCAAGTGGGCTTTTATGTGTTTTGCACTGAGGAGAGGCTTCCGTCTGCCATGAAGCCCAGATCAGTGGATGGCAGCAGTGATGGTTCTCCTTCTGGAACTTTGTCCCATCTCCACGCAGGATCTCTGGAGCTCAGTCAGAGTTACCATCGGGTTCTTGGTCACCTCTCTTACTAAGGCCCTTCTCCCCCATTTGCTCAGTTTGGCCGGGTGACCAGCTCTTGGAATAGTCCCAGTTGGGCCAAATTTCTACCATTTGAGAATTATGAAGGCCAATGGGCTCTTGGGAACCTTCATTGCAGCAGAATTTATTTTGTAGCCTTCCCCAGATCTGTGCCTTGCAATAATCCTGTCTCTGAGCTCTGCAGGCAGTTCCTTTGACCTCCTGGCTTTTGCTCTGATACAGTACGCATTGTCAGGTGTGAGGCCTTGTATAGAGAGGTGTGTGCCTTTCCTAGATGTGCCCAATCAATTCACCACAGGTGGCCTCCAATGAAAGTGTAGAAACAGCTGAGCCACCTGTTTTAGACCCCCCCCCCCCCCCCCCCGAGTGCCCGTCTATCTCATACCTAATTATTCCGAGAGCCCGTGTGTGTGTGTTCTATATGTTCACATACTGATCTCCTCTGGTCCAAATTGAATACCGAGTAGAAAATAAGTTCAGCCTCCACAACAGTCCCAGTTCCTCATACAGCCCCTTGAGGAAATTAATTGCCCTGACATGAGGCTGTAAAAACACAGAATAACTGCCTGTTTTTGCCACCCCCCAGCTGCCCATGTGCACAAGGCCAAAAAAAAACCATAAAAATGTAGAAATATTACCACCAAATCTCTATTAGTCCTCATTCACATGGGAAGAAAAATCATCACATTAGAAGGGATCTCTGCAGCTACATGAAAAAACAGCTAGAGGGCGTAATCTAAGTGCAGCAAAACCAATTTTATCAGTAGAAAGAACAATGGCAACTCACATGTGGTTCAAACATACGGGCCCATCACGTGGGCTCAAGCTGTCGTCTGTACGGCGGTGCGCAGTGCAGCGGGAATCTAGTCCAAGATTTATGCCCCGGTAGACGCAAAGCTTGGTGAGCCAATCTGACAGTGTTGGGGCAGTCCACTAAGGAGCATCAAAGGGGCGTGGCTACATGTTGCACCTCCTTCTCAAGCATTCCTAACCTGTGTGGGAGCGATCTATATATACAGATGACACGATCATGAGGACTAAAGCTGAGGGCATATGTTTGAGCCACATGCGTGTTAATAAACATTTGTTTTTCTGCACTTAGATGGCGCCCTCTGGTGTTTTTATTCTCATTGACACAGGTGTGGAGACCTGTAGTCCATGAAACGGCCCGTGTGTTTGACCTGCAGGGTGCTGCACACAGGTAGTCCATTCAGGCCAATGGGGATGAGGAGGCTGCACAGGCGCAGTCACTCGCCCAATTTGAGAGGCATGTGGGTGAGTCGCCCCGAAAGCACACTGCCTGCATTTATGGCCACTGTACTGCACCCGCATGTTGGGATGAGTGACTGTGTCCGTGCGTGGAATGGGCTGCCGGTCCCATACATGGACTACGGGTCGCAGGGCCCGTGTGAATGAGGCCCAAATATATATATACTTTTTTATTGTAACAATGTAGCCAACTTGGCAGCGAGCTCACAACACTGAAAGATGATTTGTGGGCGGAGTCTGGATGTAGCACCTGAATGCTGACTATGGAATTCATTGGAAATCTATTAATAATCAATAATCAATCACTGCTGTATTCCAGGAAAGCTGACATGGAGAGTGAAGCTGCAGAGCAATCTGTCCCGGGAAGACGCCGTCCGCGCATTCTACGAGAAGGTAACAGAGAGAAGCATGGGGGCGTGGCTTCCTTCTTCTCCTTGTGAAAAATGCCATGTGCCTGGCTGTCATGTGGATCCACCGACTTTGACTTCCTTCCTCTCTCTCTTCCCCCCTATCCTTCCCCCCCTCTCTCTCTTCCCTTCTCTCTCTCTTCTCCCCTCTCTCTCTCTCCCCCCTCTCTCTCTTCCATCTCTCTCCCCCCCCCTCTTCCCCCCCCCCCTTCTCTCCCCCTATCTTCTCTCTCTCCCACCTCTCCCTCTCTCTCCCACCTCTCTCTCTCTCCCCTATCTTCTCTCTCTTCCCTCTCCCACCCCTCTCTTCCCTCTCTTCTCTCTCGCTCTATCTCTCTCTCTCTCTCTCCCCCCTCTCTCTCTCCCCCCCCCTCTCTCTCTCCCTCCCTCTCTCCCTCTCTCTCTCTTCTTTTCTCTTCCTATCTCTCCCCCCTCTCACTGTCTCTCTTTCCCCCTCTCCGTCTTCTCTCTCTCTCTCTCCCCTTTCTCTCTCCCCCCTCTCTCTTTCCTCTCTCACTCCCTTTCTATTTCCTCTCTCCCCCTCTTTCGATTCCATCTCCCCCTCTCTCTCCCCCTTTTTATTCCCTCTCCCCCCCTCTTTCGATTCCCTCTCCCCCCGCTCTCTCTCTTCCCCCTCTCTCTCCCCCCCTTTCTATTCCCTCTCTCCCCCCTTTCTCTCTTCCCCCCCTCTCTCTCCCCTCTCCCCCCCCCCTCTTCCCTCTCTCGCTCCCCCCCTCTCTCTTCCCCCTCTCTCTCTTCCCTCTCTCCCCCATCTCTTTCTCCCCCCTCTCTCCCCCCTTTCTATTCCCCCCCCCCCATTATCCCCCCCTCTCTCTTCCCTCTCTCCCCCCTCTCTCTTCACCCTCTCTCTCTCTCTTCCATCTCCCCCTCTGCCTCCATCTCTCTCTTCCCCCCCACCCTCTCTCTCTTCCCTCCCCCCTCTCTTCCTTCTCTCCCCTCTCTCTCTATTTCCTCTCACCCCCCTCTCTCTCTTCCCCTCTCCCCTCTCTCTCTTCCCCTCTCCCCTCTCTCTCTTCCCCTCTCACCCCCTCTCTCTCTTCCCCTCTCCCCCCCTCTCTCTCTTCCCTCTCTCCCCCTCCCTCTCTTCCCTCTCTCTTCCCTATCACCCCCCCTCTCTCTCTCCCTCTCTCTTCCCTCTCTCGCTCCCCCCTCCCCCTCTCTCTTCCCTCTCTCTCTCTTCCCTCACTCGCTCTCCCCCTCTCTCTCTTCTCTCTTTCCCCCCCCTCTCTTCCCTCTCTCTTCCCTCTCTCCCCCTCTCTCTCTTCCCCCCCTCTATCTTCCCTCTCTCTCTTCCCTCTCTCCCCCCTCTCTTCCCTCTCTCCCCCCTCTCTTCCCTCCTTCTCTCTCGCTCTCCCCCCTTCCTCTCCCCCCCTCTCTTCCCCTCTCTCTCTCCCCTCTCTCTCCAACTCTTCTCTCTTCCCCCTCTCTCTCTCCCCCCTCTCTCTCCCCCTCTCTCTCCCCCCTCTCTCCCCCCCTCTCCTTCCCCCTCTCCTCTCTTCCCCTCTCGCCCCCCCTCCCCCCTACCCCCCCCCCCCCTCCCTCCCCCCCCCTCTCTTCCCTCCCCCCCTCTCTTCCCTCTCTCTCCCCCCCTCTCTTCCCTCTCTCTCTTCCCCCTCTCTCTCCCCCCTTTCTCTCTCTCCCCCCTTTCTCTCTCCCCCTTTCTCTCTTCCCCTCTCTCTCTTCCCCCTTTCTCTCTTCCCCTTGTCTCTCTTTCCCTCTCTTCTCTCTCTTCCCCCTCTCTCTTCCCCCCCCCTCTTCCCTCTCTCTCTCTCCCCCCCCCTCTCCCCCCCCTCTCTCTCTTCCCTCTCCCCCTCTCTCTTCCCTCCCCCCCTCTCTCTCCCCCCCTATCTCTCTTCCCTCCCCCCCCCTTTCTCTCTCTCCCTCTCTCTTCCCCCCTCTCTCTCTTCCCCCCTCTCTCTCTTCCCCCCCTCTTCCCTCTCCCCCTCTCCCCCCCTCTCTTTCCCTCTCCCCTCTCTCTCTTCCCTCTCTCCTCCCCCTCTTCTCTCTCCCTCTCTATCCCTCCCCCCCCCCCCTCTCTCTCTCTCTCCCTCCCCCCCTCTCTCTCTCTCTCTCTCTGTTTTTCCATAAGACATCAATACAAACCTCCCCCTCCATTATACCTGGTCCTGTCTTCTCTTGTAGCTCTGCAGTGTGATCATCCAGAACCTTCCTGTGAAGGGCATCTCCATCTCGCGGGGCCCGGGGCTCCGGCCCCTGCAGTGCACATAACGGCCTGTGATGCGTTGTCTCCTATCGCCTGACGCTGAGCTGAAACCAGAAGAACTTCATAGAGACGATCCTCGGGAATTGTAACCAGCATGGTCCCCCCTGTACCCCAGAATCCGTGTCACGGGAAGGACTTGTCTTCTGGGCTCCTCCTGCCCTGATGGACCAAATCTTCAATATTCCAGAGAATTCCTGACCATGGAGGGAACATGTGACACCAGGAGATGTGGGAGACATAGTCCATTATAGGGGGGCGGAGACTCTGCAATATCGGGGTCACACGCAGACGACTCCAAAACTATGGTGTGGCTTTGGACCATCTGAGCATTAAAAGCTGCAGTCAGTTCAATAGAGCTCCGCCTCATTTCCTGGCTGGAGGACGTCCAGCATCATCTAGCTCTCTCCTTCCCAGCCTGACTGTCCCTGGCCCTGCCCCTTTCACTTATTGGATCTCAGCTCTTTCAGCCAAAGAGATTCGGCATCACATGTGGATGTTACCTGGGGCGGTCTGCTTACAAATACAGTCTGCCTAGGAACGCCCTGCCTGACATTTTGATATTTGCATATCTCCTCCCAAGAACCAGACCACTGCTTGCATCAGGGCTGAGGTCTCTGGAGAGGAGTACTGAGGCAGGGTGCTGTGATGTTTTCAGAAAGCTATGTACAGCACCTTGCCGGCCCCTCCCACCAGCCATGATCTGCCTGTGTTGCATAGAAAAGCACAGAGACCCAGTTTTAAAAAAAACACCCAACAACAGTATCTCTGGATCTGAAGTGGTATTTTAAAGACTCAGCACCAGGGGCAGACTGACCATTTGAGAACTCGGGCACTGCCAGAGGGCCCAGGGTCAGTAGGGGGCCCCATGAGATGCCCCCCAGTACCTTTCATAGGCTTTTTTTGGGTGTGGTTTTAAGTGTGGGTGAGGATACGGGGGCCCCATGATACCGTATTGCCCAATGGCCCCATGAGATGCCCTTAGTACCTTTCATAGCTTTTTTTGGGTGTGGTTTTAAGTGTGGGTGAGGACATGGGGGCCCCATGATCCCCTATTGCCCAGGGGCCCCATGAGTTGTCAGTTCGCCCCTGCTGAGCACTGTTACTTCCAGCACTGATAAGGTTGGGCATATTAGGAGGCAGATGAAGGTGGTGGTGGGGGGAGGGGGGTTAGGTTTTGGGGGTTTTTGGGGTTTTAAAGTCATGTTGAGGAGTTAAGGCTAATTTTAGGGTTAGGCCGAAGCCCAACTCCAGGAATTGTTTATTAATATTAAAACAGGCCCCCAGGGGGGCTAAAAAATTTTTTAAAACAGCTCAGGCTGCAATGGTCACGTATATGCTACAACCAGGGGCGGACTGACAACTTATGGGGCCCCGGGCAATAGGGGATCATGGGGCCCCTGTGTCCTTGCCCAAACTCAAAAAAACCTATAAAAAAAAAGGTACCAGGGGCATCTCATGGGGCCCCCTACTGACCCCGGGCCCTCAGGCAGTGCCCGAGTTTCCAAATGGTCAGTCCGCCCCGGCTACAACTATCCCCCCGCAGTACTTGTCTCCTCCCAATAACCATTGGTTACATTTATGTCCTAATTCCCTCCAATGTTCTCTAGAATTGTTACATTGTATCTCTTATTACCAAGACTTGTGTATTTCCTCTGCTCCTCAGCTCCATCTAGTGGCCATAAAGCGGCATTTTACTGTAGCCCATCACAAAAGAACATTCCATCTGAAGAGAAAACAGCCTAAGGAACATCTGCTTGCGTAAATCCAACGGATGAACGTCTATGACAACGTTTATAAATGGACCCTTTAGGGTCAGGCTTCAGGGGGCAGGTTAGGGTGAAGTGTTAAGGTTAGGCTACATTTTAGGGGTGGGGATAAAGTATGTAAAGCCAAGCTCGTCTAAGAGGGGCTATCCTCCCACTTGGGGGAGATTCCTGCTGCATTCCTGGCTCAGAAAGTGAAGGGAAGCCTCCCTGAAGGAAGCCACTGCTGTGGGAGGGGCAGAGAGAGCGCGCTGTGCATGCACGGTGCCGCTGCTGTGGGAGGGGCAGAGAGAGCGCGCTGCGCATGCACGGTGCCGCTGCTGTGGGAGGGGCAGAGAGAGCGCGCTGTGCGTGCACGGTGCCGCTGCTGTGGGAGGAGCAGAGAGAGCGCGCTGCGCATGCACGGTGCCGCTGCTGTGGGAGGGGCAGAGAGAGCGCACTGCGCATGCACAGTGCCACTGCTGTGGGAGGGGTTCAGAGAGAGCGCACTGCGCATGAACAGTGCTTAGAGAAATGCTGGGGGAGGAGAGACATTGGCTGCGACATCAGATCAAGGATGGATGGATGGATGGGGCAAGCTGTGTATAGAAATGTAACAAAAATGTCGATTGAAACTCCACGCTACGGCTAAAAGATACGACTTTATTCCAGTAAAAGTCGGGGGGGGGGGCAATCCAAAATGCTTACAACGCATTTTGGGGGTTCAAACATGCCCCCTTCATCAGGGCTGTGGATAAGGGGGCACCACCATTCCTCCTGTATGGGGCCCAGGCCAGCAGGGGGGGGCAGGCAGCTGGTTGAATTGGATGTTTGCAGGGAGGGTGCATGGCACAGTGAGGGGGGGGGGTGTAATTACTGGAACCGATCCCCTGTATGACTCTCCCTGACGTGGCTGAAAACTAGCTGCTTCTCCTCTCCCTCCCGCTGGCTTTCAGCTGCTGCAGAGAGAGCCACACAGGGGATCGGTTCCAGTAATTGCCCCCCCCCTCATCACCGTTCCTGTGCACCATACATTTCCCCTTGCTCCCCAGGCCCCCCTGTGTGACCCCACCCCTGCAGTGCTGCTGGCTTCTCTCCTCTCTTTCCTGCTGGCTTTCAGCTGCTGCAGAGAGAGCCACACAAGGGATCAGTTCCAGTAATTGCCCCCCCCCCCCCGCCGCACCCATCACCCTCCCTGTGCACCACATGTCCCCCCATGCTGCCCAGGCCCCCACAGTGCTGCCGGCTTCCCTCCTTTCCTTCCTGCTGGCTGCAGAGAGAGCCATACAGGGGATCGGTTCCAGTAATTGCCCCCCCTCCCCGTCGCACCCATCACCCTCCCTGTGCACCACATGTCCCCCCCTGCTGCCCAGGCCCCCCACAGTACTGCCGGCTTACCTCTTTCCCACCGGCAGCTGCAAGCACACCATAGGATCCCTCAGGATGGAGAGTGGGGGAAGGGTCTGCTAAATATGTCACATTTACCATTCCCTTCCTTTCCTGAACGAACACAATGATGGATTGGTAGTGATCACTCACTGTGTTCATTCATAACTGAAGCATAGTAAATTGTTTTTTGTTTTTTTTTTTGTTGGGGCCCTGTCAGGTTGGCTGTATGGGGCCCCATGGTTTCTAATAGCAGCCCTGCCCTTCATCCCGGCAACGTGAATGGACGAGAAGTGAACTGGACCTTCAAGCTCAGATGATGTCAGCAGCTGGGCTGGCAAGCCCTGATGAGGGGGGGGGAGAATTTGGACCCCCTAAAATGCATTGGCTGGTCTTAGGGGTGTCCCCCTGACAATACATCCTGGCAGTGGGGCGGAGCTTTGATTTGCATTCTTCTTCCTCTCATTGAAGGGCGTGGCAGGGCGTGGCAGAGCAGGGTTTGCACCTATTGTATATCCAATGATATTTTATGCATTTTCTTGTCACATATTGTGTGTGATTATTACTTTGTGTGTTTTATTAAAGTTGTTCCAAGAAGGCGCAGTGCGATTCGTATTCCTTACACCAAGCGTGCAGCGACTCCGCCATTTCTATCAATCATGGCCGGGACACGGGGAGTAGAGGGCTGGTGTTGGGGTGACAGGGAAGTTCACACCAAAGCTTTTCCTCCACGTTTTGCATTTTGCAGCAACGCAGTGCAGTCCATGTAACATGATTTCCTATGGGACACGTTCACATCTCCGCGTTTTCACCCCGCTGCGTTTTTGGAAAGGGTCAGGGACTTTTTTTAATGCAAAAAGTAGTGTTTTTGGTTCTATAGACTAATGGAAATGCTGCAGAAAAGCATGGCGTGTGTTTTTGCTGCATTTCTGATGGGTTTTGCATTTTACATCTGCCTAGCAAGAAGAAAAAAACCCCCCACAAAACACATTAAAAAAACACAGGTGCAAAAACACAAAACCCATCAGAAACAGCTCAAACGCAAATTGCATAGGTGTGAACCGAGCCTTAGGGGTACAGGGGGGGTTAGTATTAGGGTTACAGGGGGGGTTGATGTTGGGGATACAAGGAGGGTTAGTGTTAGGGGTACAGGGAGGGTTAGTGTTGGGGGTACAGGGAGGGTCAGTGTTGGGGGTACAGGGAGGGTCGGTGTTGGGGTTACAGGGAGGGTCAGTGTTGGGGTTACAGGGAGGGTCGGTGTTGGGGTTACAGGCAGGGTCGGTGTTGGGGTTACAGGAGGGTTAGTGTTGGGGTTACAGAGAGGATCAGTTTTGGGGTTACAGGGAGGGCCAGTTTTGGGGTTACAGGGAGGGCCAGTTTTGGGGTTACAGGGAGGGTTAGTATTACGGGGAGGGGGGTACAGGGAGGGTTGATGTTGGGGTTACAGGGAGGGTTAGTGTTGGGGTTACAGGAGGGTTAGTGTTGGGGTTACAGAGAGGATCAGTTTTGGGGTTACAGGGAGGGCCAGTTTTGGGGTTACAGGGAGGGTCAGTTTTGGGGTTACAGGGAGGGTCAGTTTTGGGGTCACAGGGAGGGTCAGTGTTGGGCTTGCAGGAAGGGTTGGTCTTAGGGTCACAGGGAGGGTTGGTGTTGGGGGTTACAGGGAGGGTCAGTGTTGGGGTTACAGGGAGGGTTAGTGTTGGGGGTTACAGAGAGGGTCAGTTTTGGGGTTACAGAGAGGGTCAGTTTTGGGCTTTCAGGGAGGGTCAGTTTTGGGGTTACAGGGAGGGTCAGTGTTGGGGTTACAGAGAGGGTCAGTTTTGGGGTTACAGGGTGGGTCAGTGTTGGGCTTGCAGGAAGGGTTAGTTGTAGGGTCA